TGCGAATGGGACGGTTCCTCCAATGAGGGACTTTGCATTTGCAAACATTTGTCTTCATTCGCCATTCTAATGTCAAAGTATCCAGTGAAAGTCCCCTGGATAACAGAGGTTACCTATGTTGGACTGTCTGTATCAGTCGTGTCACTCATTATCAGCCTCGTGGTAGAACTGCTCGTCTGGAACACTGTAGTGAAGACAAGTACTTTGTATTTGCGCCATACTGCCCACGTTAACGTTTCTCTATGTCTGCTAGTTGCAGATATCAGTTTTTTAGCATCCTCTAAGCCCAGTGATATTTCAGAAATGTGGTGCAAGGTTTTTGTCGTGTTAAAGCATTTCTGTTACCTGTCCATGTTCTTCTGGATGTTTTGTCTGAGCAGCATGCTCCTTCACCAAGCAACTTTTCTGTTCCATAATGTGAGCAAGAAAATCTACCTGAGGTTGTCACTCTTCCTGGGCTATGTGTGTCCTTTGCTGATTGTTGTCATCACAGTTCTTAGCTATAAGGGTGGTGCTGAAGGCGAGTACTTCTCCCATGAGACCTGTTGGCTGCGTTACACTGGACTTATGCAAGGGTCCATCCACACATTTGTCGTACCAGTCGGTACCATTGTCATATTCAATGTGTTCTCCATGCTGGTGGTGATCATGAAGCTTTTGGATCGCCCTACGAATACAGAGCGGTCCAATGAACAGGAGAGAAAAGCTGCCCTAACTGTCATTAGGTCAGTTATCCTTCTGACTCCAATCTTCGGTGTGACTTGGATTTTCGGCTTTGCCGTGATGCTTCTTGACCTCACAAGTGGAACCATGGTCTTGGTAATCAATTATGCCTTTACCCTGCTGAATTCCTTCCAGGTATGTTCATTATGATCTTTAGGTAAACATCTGGACCAGTAAAAGTTTTCCTTGTCTAGTAACCTCGTCATTTCATTTGCAGGGTTTCTTCATTTTGTTGACCACATGCCTGGGGGACAAACTGGTAAGGCAATTTTACTTCTTTAAAGGAAATGCCAAAATGAATCATAATGGGTTTTGCATTTCTGGATCAATTATGTTATTACTGTGTTTCTTCTGTAGTAGGCCAGCAGCAGCAAAATATTTAAAAGCATTTCTGTAAACCACAGATACGTTACATTTGGATATTTCATAAGTATTATATCAACGTTTCTAAAGTTCTGATGGATGGCATGACACCTAAGCAAGAAACCCGCCATGCTGCAGACCACTGCTGGGACCAGCAAACATCAAAATGGTTGTTTCTGAATGAGTCATTGCTGTATTTCCAGCAGCTTTTAAGCCAACAAATATGGGTGTTTTTTTAGCGACCTGTTAGTCTGTTTCCACCAGAGAGAGGGCAACAAAAAGCAGTTGTTTTTTGACAGAGACATCGCTGCATTTGAAGCTGGGGTGGTGCCATGAAAAGCAGTTGGGTTTTTTTCATGGCCCTGCCGGCCATGTATACCGGCCTTGTGACAAGCTAACTTTACAGCCTGTCAAAATATGCTTTAAGGTTGTGGTACCTGAACACAATGGGCATGATGGGTCCCCATTTACCCACAGTTTTAGGTTCTGGGGGGGTTGGTAACACATCGTATGTAGCCCCTACCAGGAATCTAATACGATTCTCCTCCATACTCCACAGGTCCCTCCAACTAAGCTTCCTCTTCTCTACACTTTCCCAATTCAACCACCGTCCCTGCTTAGCCTGGGCCACTACCTTTGCACCCCTTAGCATCTCTTCCTGTCTACCTATCTGTTCCACAACCAGCTGTCTTTTATCTTTGGGACCTGCTTTTTTCCATACTGGTTTGCCTGAGCCAAGCTGCCTCTGCCTCCTGAACTGCCATCCTTGGGTTCCACTCTCCTCCCCTTGGTTGGATTTGGAACCACACTCCTAACTACCACGTCCTTACTCCCAGATAACAACAGCTCTGTCCTGACCTTGGTACATTTAAATTCCTCTGTTAAACTAGATACTGGCAGCTGAAGTATCCTTTTTCCATACAATGCAACACTACTTAGGCACCTAGGAGCGCCCAACCACTTCCTAATATAGGAGCTAACCGACCTTTCAATTCTCTCCACAACAGACATTGGAATTTCATAAACTGACACATTAACCTATGATATAGCCCAAATTGCAAACACCACAATTCAGCTTTCCTGGAAGTTCTGATTTATTTATTCTATCCAATCCTTCAGCCATATTTTTTCTAAATTTCACCACCTGTTCCTCATCATTCAACTCTAGATTGTACCACCTACCTAAGCTCTTAACTGCCTTTCCCCTGATTGTTGGGATTTCCTCATCATCTAGGACAAACTTCCTGTCACTTAACTTCCCTCTGTATCGAGATGCTTCTAGACTTACTAGGCTTGGTCTTCATGCTGGCCCACTTGAGGTTCTTATTTACCTTCTCTAGTAGCCTCTTTGTACATGGCATTTTTGTGGTCACCAGTGTCATGTCATCCATGTAAGCCCTAACTGGTGGAAGATGCACCCCGTTCTGCCATCTCTCCTCACCTACCACCCACTTAGAAGCCCTGATGATTACTTCCATCGCCATAGTAAATGTTAATGGAGAAATTGTACACCCTGCCATAATACCTATTTCTAGCCTCTGCTAACCTGTTGTGAAACTTGCCGTACTTAGACACAACATAATATACTGACAATATGCTCTCACTAAGTTAACAACTACCTGTGGCACTTTGAAGTAGTCAAACGTACTCCAAATGAGGCTGTGCGGTACTGAACCAAACGCATTTGCAAGATCTAAAAATATTACATGCACATTACATTTTTTTTTTAATCTAATAATGTAATAACATACGAAAGTAATGGATCTGTGGTTTGCAGAGACATCCCATGCTAACATTTATTCTGGTGACTGGTTTAACCTCTTAGCATGCTCAACATCACTGATGGTCCCTATGCTAAGTTAACAGGTTGCTGGCTTCAGCTTCATGTTTAACAACCCCAAATGATAGTGGTATCAGACAGTCTTCTCATCCAACTCTCTATGAGAAAGCGAATAAGCATATTTTCCAAAGATACATGCGATCCATGATATTATAGGGTACAAAAAGGCAGAAAATTCTTGGGATCTTTGGTGAAGTTTTAAACTTCAACAAACCTCTAACCCTGGGAAGAAATTTTAGGATTTGGAATCATGATTGCGGCTTTATCAGGGAGTGTATCCAAATTACAACCCACTGTCAGAAGTTTCAATTAGTTGTTTAACAAGTTAAATGTTTAATTACACCAAAAAACTACAAACAAGGTAGAAATGCATCATTAAAAATATTTTAATCCAATGTTGACAGACACGTGAAGCACTGCTGAGTCATCTGAAGAGAAAAGTAAGTGTGCTATGACTGGGTTTATTCATATTTAAAATACAGTAATGATTGTGGATTCATTTTACACATCCTTCTCCTCTGCTCTCCAGCCTCTGGCATCGACTACTGACAGCACCACCAAGTTAGACTCAAGTGGGAAGAAGTAAAAAATAGTCTCAAATAGCTGCACTGCAATCTAAACAAACTACATTTTACACATACAATTGCAGATATTTGCTTCATAAGCCTTATTTACATGCACTTGATGATTTTGTTGTTGTTATTTTGATTCATTACCTGTGATACAATCCACTGTACATTGTTTGTTTTTGACAGGAAATATTTTACGGATTCACAATATTGGATTTTGGTTATTGGATTTGCTGGAGGCAAAACATGACTCTCCGCCTCAGGGCAGTAGGCTACATAAAGGTCTTAAAAAACAAAGACCACTTTGGTTAAATGCGATAAGACGAAGGGATTGGACGGATCATGAAAAATGCTTGCATGTGCAGCACACACTTCAAGTCAGGTTTGGGAAAAGGTATTTCCTGTTGTAAGGATAAATGACGTTATGTGTATTAAGGGTTATCATGTCCACCTCATCAGAAACTGGGGAGGTATTAAGAGAGATATTGGATTTCTAAGTAATGTTAACTTTTAGCACATTAGCTAACGTTAGCTTCAATAGCAAAACAAACTGGAGAAAACTGTTCAAGTGTCGTCTTCCTTTGTAAGATTGGCATAGTAATCAACCACAAAGCTTCCTGTGACATCATCCATCCACTGAGTGAGAGCATACGGGTCGGCCAGTCTGGTCCCATGGGTCAGTGTTTACTTACTCTAGTAACACTCCTGGTCCCGGAGAGTGAGTGACCTGACATGGTGCGTTCATAATTTCAGTATGACGCTCTACCCTATAATGAGAGCCCTGTTGGTTGAAGAAACGGAGCGTTATATTTCTATATGCATTAACAAACGGTTAAGTAAATTATGTATTCACTTTGCTTGGTACTCTGCTGCTCCATCTCCCCAGCCACAGTACATTCTGACAGCTTATTTATGAACAGTCCAGTTTGTGCCAGAGAGCGCTCCGGGCACTCGGAATTAATATTACTGAGTGCACCACTTGAATCATCTTCCTCCATTGTCTAAAACAAGCCAATTGAGCTTGCTAGCTAGCACTGGCTAATGTCTGTGGAGAATTGTTTTGCCTCCAGCTAAGTACCGCCCACCCAAAAACGTCATACTTTACTAACAGTAAAAGGGTCTATATCCACTTTTTTCCCCACTTAATTTTAGTGATCAAGTCTCTTCTGTAGTGGAATTAACATCGTAATATGCATACTCTTATTCTGATAGCCCTATGTCATCCTCTTCAGTGTATATAATATTCAATCATTGTGCAAAAATAAGAATAGGCATGTTGGCAGATTCTGACAGTTAATTCTAAAGCCAATATCAGCCAATACCGATGACGTGCCGATATTAATGTGCATCCCTAAAACATTTCCAACTTGTATTCTTTATTCATTGCTATAAATTAAATTACATATAAAGTTCAGATGTGGTTTGAGCAATACTGTGTGTGTTATCCATTACTAATAAAGCACTGAAACACTGACAACTCTTATTTGTGAAAAGATGAGTTCATCCTACGTCTGAATGTTGCTAGAGATTCTGTTTGCTTCATTTTCTTTGCCCTGCTCTGCCCACTCCTCGTCCGTGTCATCCAGTGAAATCCCTTTCTGGGTTGCCATCTTGCGGTAGGCCTGGCACTCAATTTCTGCTCTGCAACATACAAAAACAGAGCAAATTTTCTTACTTACCTTATAAAGTCAATGTATAATCTTATTGATCTGAGTATCTGAGAGGAAAACTTAATCAGAGTGTGGCATGTGTGAATCGAGGAGATGTGAATCAGAGAATGAAATAACACCAGTGGTGGCGAATCAGAAAACCGGGCTTCATTTTATACTTTTTAAGAAATCGAACGCAGTCCTGGTGTCCGTATATTTCAGCTATCCGCACTGGTTTGTCTCCACAGCAGTCCTCCTTGTCTATAGGGGCATGCAGGGAGTGCAGCAGCCGCAGCACTGCCAGCCGGCCGGACTCTGCAGCCGAGTGGGCAGGGGTCCATCCATGCTCCGTCCTCAGACACGGCCTGGCTCCATGTTCAATGAGGATCCTCACTGTTTCTGTGTGACCTGTAGAAAAAGCGTCACAGTGTGATCTGGTACCTGCATTTAAGAGCCTGGTGATTTTTTTTACTCTGGTCTTTTAAAAACAAACTCTTATTTACTGTGGTGGAGGAAAAGTCTGACTATGACAAGAAGACGAAAGAGAGGCCAAAGAAAATACAATAAAAACTGCAACAAAAAAGGGCACTTAATTAGTTGATTGGCAAAAAATTGGCTGAAATTCAGGATTTTCTAACATTTAAAAACTGAGTAATTCATTAAACAAATAATCAATTGAATAATTGATAAAGTAATAATTTTAAATTAAAGCTGGAGTTGGTAAATTTTTTTTTTTTTAAGAATTTTTAGAAGTTATCAATTGAAAACACAAGTCACTCCCATGCTGACTGACAGGTATTTTTAATAAACTAAAACCTAATAGCTAGCTTTCTATATCTAAGTTTTATGATGGTGTCATTTGAGAGGCACATCCTCCCACCAATAAAATAAGGGACTGTTTGTTAAGTATGAGGGGAGGGAGTGGGACAAAAAATAGGAGGCATGTCAATTTTTTTAAGCACTGGGGAGGGACTTGTGCTTTTTATTTTGGGTTATGGCATACAAATTTAATTGGCTGTATTGCGTATTTATTTTCCTGCCGATTTGTAAAGAAAATGCCAAAATTACACCATTTATCATAGCCAGAAACTGTAAAAAAAAAAAAAAAAAAAAAAAGAGAAAAATTATTTGATTTTCAAATTTCCAACAGTCCTTGAACACATTTTGTGGGCCGAACTCTTCCATAAAAAAAATACATAACCAAATCTGAGCTTGAAATTGTAATACTTTATCAAAATTACTTCATTCTACATGTCTCCTTTAAAATTTAGCTAAAAAATAAACCATGAACCCTTGTTCACCAGCACGCACAACAAGAGTGAAAAACCGAGGCATTTTTCAACTCCAGGATTTCGTCTTTCACTTTTAATTTTTACTTTTAAAAATCACAAGTTTTTAAAATCTACTTATAGCTGATCATCACCATAAACTAATTTATGATGGAGGGAGGGTCATGCATTTCCTGCCAGTCACTCAGGTAGGCTCAAAGAAAAATGCTTTTAGCATTGGGGAGGGTAAAAATAATAATAAAAAAAATAAATAAAAAAGAGGTCACACCCCAGCCACTCTCCTACTCTGATAAGTAAAGAACAGTCCCTAAAAGCCAATGTCTGATATAGGACAGTCCCTTATATGACGGACAAATAAAACTGCTAGCTTTACTAACGTTACAGTCAATGTTAAGTAAAATCACAAAAAGAGGAAAACAGGGATATAGCTGTAACTGTCCGTCTTCAGGGTCTTTTGGACACCCTCTCCTGTGACCGTTACAGTCAACACTGCAGTATTTTAATGGCGGTAGCTGTGTGTAAACTGATGAGACCTGCAGGTGCTCCAGGTGAAAGGACACTACAAATTCCCACTGACCAATGAACTACCTTTAGCTGCTGCCCAGTGAAGAGGAGTCTTGTAGCTCCAGTCGATATCTCTGTGGTTGGGATTGCATTCATTTTGTTTCAGGAGCTCCTCAACTCGGTCAAAGTCGCCCGCTGCAGCTGCCTGGTGCAACTCTGTCATCTCGGTACTGTGGTTACCTAGCAACGGTGGACCAACACAAGATGGCCCCGGCGTGTGAACGGTAAATGCTGCCACCTGCTGTAGCCAGATGATAAAACCAGGCTGTGTGTCTTAAAAATACATGACACACTGAAGAGGTTGAATTTAATGAGCAGTTGTGCTTTTTCAAAAACATCTAATACCGCGGAGAAAGAACCAAATTAGCTTTTAAAAGTTTGTGAGTGAAGAGTTTAGGTTAGGCGACCGGTAGGCTAACGTTAGCCGAACAAACATGGCGGAAAAGATCATTGTTAACCAAATCTACGACAATTTTTGTTCAAAACATCTTTCTCCCCCCTAATTAAAGTATTTCAGGTAATTATAAAGTATACATAGTGAGTTGGGTTAATTAACATGTTGCCACTAGGTAAGTGGAAGTATAAGATAAAAAGAAAATGTTAGCTTCAGTAGTAGGTTTGATCAAACATGGACTTTTAGGGACTGTTCTTTACTTGTCATAGGAGGGGTTCTTCTTATTTTAAAATTATTTTTATCATCCCCATAGCTACAAATATTTTTCTTTGAGCCTCCCTGAGTGGCTGGGGGTAAATACATGACTCTCCCTCCACCATAAATCAGTTACTACCTTTTTAAAAACTTATCCTTTTATGTGTTTTAAAATTAAAAGTTGAAATGGAAATCCTGGAGTTGAAAAAAAGCCTTGGGTTTTTTATTCTCATCATGCATACTCGTAAGTTAGTGCAGAAGGTTTATTTTTGGCCAAATTCTAAATGGGATGTCGAATAAAGCGGTTTTGATTAAGTATCACTATCTTAAGCTCAGATTTGGCTGTTTTCTTTCTGATGGAAGCGTTCCTTGCCTATGATGTGTCCAAGGACTGTGGGAAATTTGAAAATTCAACAATAATTTCTGTTTTTACAGTTTCTGGTGTAAGTTTGACATTTTTTTAAGAAAACATGCCATGGATTCTTTAAAAATCTGCTGTAAAATAATTACAAAATACTACCATTTAAATTGGTATGCCCTTCCCCTGAGCCAAAATAAAAAACACAAGTTCCTCTCCAATGCTTAAAAAATGATTCTACATGCCTCCCTCTTTTTGCACCACCCTCTTCCTCCTCATAAATAACTAACAGTTCTGTACACAGAAGAGTTTAACTTGTTGAACAACAAAAATTAAAAGATGGATAAATTAAATTAGTTAAAATGTGTGCTGCAATTAAGACCTCACAAATATGAATTTAGGATGATTTAATGACCTTTAAGGCCTAATATTTATGCAACTGGACACATTTTAAGACTTTTAGGACTTGCATAATGCCAAAATTAGTCAAGATTATTTAAAGATTATTATTTTTGAATATAACCCCATATAAATATGAAATATGCCCAGTCAACATTTTTGCCTAATCAATGAACAGTGATACTGTACATTTCTGTAAATTCTTATTGAAATTTGACTGTCACCTTAATGTTTGAAACAAAATCAACTTATAACATTACTTATAACTCTGAATAAAACAATTCTGGAGACTTGACATCATAAAGGAATACCATATCTGGAAGACTGCTATGACAATGACTATCAGGTTTTTCAAACAGCTGAAGAGGAACTATGTCCTGTCTAACAAAAATGTTGTATATTGGTGCAATCAAGATTCTTACACCCTTATTCAGTTGTTTGAGAGAACTTGCCTCGTGAGGGATGGAAACAGATTCACTGTTCATTGGGGAATGTTACAAATATTGGTGCATCTGTCAAAAAAAGTCCAACTCCCCTCCCCTCCCCTCCAAATCTGTGTCCCACTTAAAAAACATTACCCCCAGTCATAGAATTGGATATAATTAAAGACTTGGTAGCCTATATCAATGGTGAAAATGTGACAAAATTGTACCATTGTTAAACTTAAAAAAAAAAAAACTGTCTACCGTCTATGGAAGCCTTTTTAATGAGGCTTGGGCTGAGGAAGGGTCTAAAAGTTTATTGCTGCAAAAACCTCCTAAAAAAGAATTTAAGCTCCAGCATCATAACTGATACACAAATTTCATCATCAAAACACAATGCATTTAGTTACATGCTGAAGAGCAAGATGTCGGTTATTCCCTAGAGTTGATTTGCATAGCCAACAGCCTACAAAACAGCCTGTTCAAATGTGTAGAATCCATTTTAAAAATTCACACCCTTATTCATCCATGCAAGCACTGTATGTTTATTGACACAAATAACCTTCATTTCATTTAGTTAGTAAAATTACATTGAGTAAAATTTCTAACAAGACAAACATGTATATTCAGTTTCCAAAAGACTGGTCTGTCACAGCTGGGTTTCCCCATTGGTGTCCATCTAGGGCCAGAGCTGAAGAAACAAAAACAAGGATTAGATCACATATTAAATATTTAAAACTGCTTAAATGTCCAAATATCAATAATTCACTTTTCAGTTTGTTAGTTTTATCACAGGACAACCCCCATGGCATCCATTAATTATCACTTGTGAAGAAAAGATTGGATTAGAAAAACAAGTCCTACCATCATTCAAGGACTTTTTGATTACTTTAAACTCCAACACTCTCCATCATGTGGGTCCACTGAAGACGAAAGATTAAATGACAAATACACGAGTGAATGACATTCATTGAAATCCTAACAAAACTAAAATTTCAAAAAGTGACACAAATTATAGTCTACTTACCTGACCAAACATCCAGCCAAGGCATGGTTTGCATCTAGTCCTTTCCAGTATTTCTTCATCAGTGTATTCACAACCACTCCGTCGCATTCAACTTCCACTGCATACTGAGGCACTGCAGCCTCTGAATGGTCATCCATGTTGAACACTGTCAGTTTGAGTGGTTTATTAATCAGGAGATTGTAGAAGTCATCATACACTTCGTCATCCCAGGAGCCCCTGGATTGATCAAATCCACTCAAAGAGCACAAAAAGGCCTGGGGAGCCCTCTCCAGCAGACTCTGAGGCAGTGATCTCACATTCTTGACATCAACATCAGACTCATTTCCATAGTCAATAAATGTGACATCGAATGCATCTTCAACTCTGCGAATTACTTGAGCTCGGTACCACTGGTTGTCACTAGAAAACAGAGCAAGGCATGGACTGCCAGGACCAAGAGTCTCTGGGAACATCACGTCCTGCTGCGCTTGTCCTGCTTTCTGAACAAGCTTTGATATTTTGCTGAGCTCCTCTGTGTCAGCGTACTGACACCAGAAGAAATGGGGTTCCACAATACAAGAGGCATATACTTCTGTCTTGTTCTGAGAAAGCTTTGGCCACTTGTACATGTAAGATTTCACATTTTCTTTGGCAACACTGAGTTGTGTCATGCTGGACTCAGTTTGACCATTTCGGATAAAAGTTTCTGTTGGAGGGTGTTCAAATGAAACGCGTCTTTTGGCAACTGGCTTCCAGTATTTCTGCATTGCTGCATTTACAACCACTCCATCACACTCAATTTCCACTGCATACTGAGGGACTGCAGCCTCTGAATGGTCATCCATATCAAACACTGTCAGTTTTAGAGGTTTATTAACCAGAAGATTGTAGAAGTCATCATACACTTCATCACCCCAGGAACCCCTGGACTTATCAAATCCATTCAAAGAGCACAAAAAGGCCTGGGGAGCCCTCTCCAACAGACTCTGAGGCAGTGATCTCACATTCTTGACATCAACGTCTGACTCATTTCCATAGTCAATAAATGTGACATCGAATGCATCTTCAACTCTGCGAATTACTTGAGCTCGGTACCACTGGTTGTCACTAGAAAACAGAGCAAGGCATGGATTGCCAGGACCAAGAGTCTCTGGGAACATCACGTCCTGCTGCGCTTGTCCTGCTTCCTGAACAAGCTTTGATATTTCGCTGAGCTCCTCTGTGTTGGCGTACTGACACCAGAAGAAATGGGGCTCCACAATACAAGAGGCGTACACCTCCTCTTTTTTGTTCTTGGAGATGTTTGGCTTCTTGTACAAACAAGTATTCACATTTTCCTTGGAAACCTTAAGATCTGTCATGTTGGACTCAGTTTTAATATCTTGGAGGGAAGTTTCTATTTGGGTTCTTTCAATCTTGGCATGTTCTGCGTGAAGTGGTTTCCAGTATTTCTGCATTACACTATTCAAAACCACATTATCACACTCAATTTTCACTGCATATTGTGGAACCGCAATCTGTGAATGGTCTTCCATATTAAACACTTTCACTCTGAGTGGTTTATCAACCAAGAGATTGTAGAACCCCTCATATACTTGGTCATCCCAGGAGCCCTTAGACTCATCAAATCCATCCAGAGAGCACAAAAAGGCCCGAGGAGCCTTCTCCAGCAGACTCTGAGGCAGTGATCTCACATTCTTGATGTCAACATCAGATTCATTTCCATAATCAATAAACACGACATGGACTACATCGTCAACTCTGCTCTCTACTAGAGCTCGATACCACTGGTTGTCACTGGAAAACAGAGCAAGACATGGACTGCCAGGACCAAGAGTCTCTGGAAACCTCATATCCTCTGGTGCCTGTCCTGCCTCCTGTGCAAGCCTTGATATTTCGCTGAGCTCCTCTGTGTCGGCATACTGACACCAGAAGAAATGGGGTTCCACAATACAAGAGGCGTATACCTCTGTTGCATTTTGAGGAATGTTTGGCCACTTGTACATGTTTATATTTCCCTTGGGGCAAGAAGGAAGGGAAAGTTGTGTCATTTCTGAATCACCTTCTATTTCTTTGTTCTCAACAATGACATCCAAAGCCGGTTTTCTTCCTTCATGCAAAGTCTTTTCATGTTCAGTCTGTGGTGCAGAGGCATTAGTTATGGATTGTGAATTCAGCTCATCTCTTGCACACAGTCCATTCAGTCCATTGATGCTGTGGACTTTATTTTGTTCTGTCATCTTCATTAACACTGAAACATTCTTGAGCTCTTGCTTTGGACAATCCCCATTTAGCACACTGGCATGTTCAGGGCTGTTGGAGAGCTGCTGAACGACACTGGTCATCTGTTGTTGCATCATATTTGCTACAACCCCTCTGACGTTCACATTTACATTCTGAGGTCCTTCAAACAGTTCAACCAGTAGCTTCCCATTTTCCTCTTTTGCTACAACTGAAATGGTGAAACTTTGGCCAACAGCACATTCAGCAAACCACTGGTTGACTTCCTGAGGCACGTCTGCAGGGACATTGGACAGTCCAAGTGGAACAGCCTGTACAGGAACAGACTTGACCATGCTTGCTTCTGGGGGAAAGGGACAAATATCAGATTCATTCACTTCAAAGGAATGACCATAGTCCACAAAGTGCACTTTAAGTTTTGGAGACATTTCTTCTACTTGAGCTCTGTACCACTTTTTATCAGTGTACTTAGCAAGGCAAATGCTATTAAGTCCAAGTGGGTGATCTGTGTTCCGTGGCTGGCCAATTAGTTGATTAACATTTCCCATCACTTTATCAAAATACTGACAATTCCTCTCCAGTTGGCAGTAGAATTGATGGACATTCTCGCAAGAGGTAACCCACACTTTTTCTTTTCCATTCACCTCAATGTTGTGTGTGGAGTAAATGTATGCATCCAATGGGACTTGTGGAGGACTTTGAACGAGAGCTTCGGCCTGTGCACATTTCTGAGTCAAAAGCTTGCATTCACTGTTTGATGATGTTTCACAATCTACCATGTTAAGCAGACCTCCTTCATCAGGTGTTGCAGCTTTTACGATGCATTTCACTGCATCACAAGCATTTAGCACATCAGAGGGGGAAGCATTTGAAAGCTTCCCATTGATCTGTACTAGAGGGTCTGGACATTCTGAGCTCACTTTGATTTCAGTATCATCAGCTCCAGAAGTCAGTGCATTGTCTGTCTTGCCATTGACTGCTAGGTTCTTGGTGTGTGGCAAAGTTTCCTCTGGTAAAGCATCAACATTTACGCTGACTTTGTTCTGTAAATCCACCCAACGTTCGTCTCTGAGAAGCAAGGTGGTGATGGATTCATTCTGGACATTTGTATCTCGTACAGTCTTGGGTGGTAAGAAAGGCTCTTCCATCTCTATAAAACAATTGTTTATGCATACATAATTTTCTGCATAGAGAATGACATGATAGACATCTTCAGGTATGCTGTGGCGGGTAAACTTCACCACCACTGTCTGGTTCAGGAGCGCTGATTTCAAGTAATCAGTCTGGTCTGTAGTCCACCCTGTGCCATTATCTTTTACACCTTCAAGAGAACAGGAATACGTGACAACTGGCATTCTCAGGAATTTCACATGCAGAGGTCTGATGTCTCCAATTGGGATTAGCTCAGTTTTTCCTTCATCCACATGCAAAACTTCAACAGCGCCATCACTAGTCATGGTTTGCTTTAGTAATGAGCGATGCCATCTGCCGTTTATTCCTCTAGCAGCACATGGATCCCCGCAGGTCAGAGGTCGTGTCTCTCCTACATCTGAGTTCTCTTCATAGTACTTCTGGATCTGTTCTGATAATATCTTCACTGCCTTGGAAAAAATAAGGACTTTGCAAAAAATGTCATGTGGATTAGTTACCTCTGTCACGTAAACAGTTTCAAAAGTATCAGTTAACAGCTCTGGGTAAAAGTAATGGTCATGCTTCTCAAGTTGGCAACTAACATTCAGATTCTGTTCCTGCATTATGCGGTCAGCCTCAAGACATTTCTGTACGAGGCATTTAAACTCATCCACTGGCATCTTCTTTGCAACTCCAAGCTTACTAACGTGCTTGGAAAAAACTGGTATGTCGAGGAGAATGGTCCTGTCCGGCATCAGCACATGTTGAACCAGTCCCTTAACCTTCTTGCCAGGCAGAGATACCAAAAACTTTGTGGCTTTTTCAGGCCAGTTCTTCTCATGGCAAAGGATATTTGCGAGTATACATGATTCAGTTTCAGGAGGTAGAAGAAAAATGTCACTCTGGCCCCATGCTAAAGCTTCACTTGTGGTGATATGAGGCTGTCCCTGGTCAATCAGAAAAACATGGCATGCTTCACTTTGAATCGATACAATCCGAGCTCTGTGCCAGGTGTCGCTGATGCAAACTAGACAGAGATCCCCTGGTTTTCCTTCTGATCCATAAAACTTTCTTTCAGGAGTCTGAATTTTCTCTCTCATTTGCTCATAGACATGCTTCCTGCCATCATCCACGTTAACCCATAATTCCACAAGACCGTAAGTGTAGTTTAGGTTTACCCTCGTGATGAGAACAGGTACTTCTGAGCCTGGTGTTGGAAGGCCAGGAATTGAACACATTGTGAGTCAGGGGTCACATACACCTGCAAATGGAAAAAATAAAAGTACCAATGCTTAAGAGAAACAGGCTTTTATAAAGAATACCTCAATTGCAAAATTATAGTTTATTATAATCACCTCCTGTAACCTTGGCTCTGAAGAAAACTTTTTTTTTGCACGCCTCCACAGTGAAGGAAGAATCCAAAAAAGGTGAACATTCTTCATGAATTAAAGTGACTGGGGACCACTACACCCTGGGGTACATGTCCCCCACAACTGCTGTATCTGTCCTCTATGTCCCCCGCACTTTTTTATACTGTAAATCAAGTTTGACAACTAAAATGTACAGCAAACCATCCAGCAAGAGGCAGAAAACCCTGCACTCGTTCTTTATATCAAACCATGTAAGATGAGTTATGCGTTTTTTTAAAACAGTTGATCTCTTTTCCTAGTCATCAGGTGTTTTTGCTTATTTGGTTTGGTTCTTTAGCCACTATGGAGAAGCGCAACTGAATGTGAGAGAATATTTCAATAAAAACATTTTAAAAAATCATCTTATTCCAAAACAATCTGTCCCCCTCACTTTCTGTAATGACTACACCCCTGACAGCAAAGCCATATCAAAACATCCATTTACAAACACTCACACAACTCGTGCAGTATAATCCAAGTCCCATTTATTCAGTTATTCTCAGTACTTCCCAAAGACATGCATTTTTACTAAAACTTTACAATATATAATAAACTTTAGCCTACATTAGCATGCCTTGAGTATGTCTGAGCATGTGCATGCATATAAGCTTTGCTTAAGCAGAGTTTACACACATACCTGTGCATGAGACTGTTTGTACTGACGAGTTTTAATCATAATATTTTAGTGAAAATGCATGTGTTTGGGACATACTGAGCACTGGATTAATGAGACTTTGATTATACTGCATGGAGGTGTGGGAGAGTTTGTAGATGGATGCTGTGATATAGTTTTGCTGTCGTTAAACATGAACCCCCTTTACTTTAATTCCCGAAGAACGTTCACCTTTTTCAGAGTCTCTGTTCACTGTGAAGACCCATAGGAAAAAAAGGTTTCCTTAAGAATTCAAGGTCACACATGGTGAGTAATTGATATGAAAATAGGTAATTTTGAGGGTGAAGTATTCCCTTAACCATGAATGCCACCGACTTTAGGAACTTCTAGGACAGTTCAGTTACCATTCTTTGCACTTAATCTGCTTGAACACATACTACTGCACATATTTTTGTCATAACATTGAATAGAGTAGCCTACATTTTTTTGTATATGTATTGTAATTTTTCTATTCTATATTTATGTTATTGAATGTTTCAGTACTTTGCTTTCATATGTTTATTGTATGTTTACCTTTGCACCAAACACCAAGGCTAATTCCTTTTAAGTGAAAACCTACTTGGTAATACATTTTATTCTGATTTTAATTGCTACCACATATGGCAAGTGACTAGTACTGGTCTGTTAGCTCAGTGCTAACAGATATAGGGATTACCATTAACGTGACAGGATTAACAGAAATTAGCATTGTGATATTATCTAAACAAACAATTCATTTTACTTCACATGCTTAACATAAAACGATGTGTGCTCAGACTTACAGCCATATATTTTTATGCTCTGTGGAAACAAACTTATAGCTGCTGACTCGTTTGTTTATTATCATTATTATTGTTATTATTTTCGTTCATTGACTTTTTTTCCTGTCCCGTCCCAGTCAAGTGATGAATAGTGAAACTGACAACCACCCCGCAGCAGGCCCACAGGATTCTCAAAAAAATGTCAGCCTCTACACGACACCACTGCCCTGATCCAAGATTTTTGTTCCAAATTGCTCAAAAATGCTCAGTTTAGCTGTTCAGTTTCTAAAAAAAATCTGGGGGAATTACCCTTGAATCCCCCTTGGATCACAAAAGATGTAGATTTAAATGGTCCCCCCACACCCCAGTGCCCCAGTGTTAATTGGTGATTACGGCCTTGCTGTCCACATTGTTGAAAATACTGAGGTTGGGGTTTTGGGCTTTTAATTATGGTCTTTTATTAGTTGGGTATGGATTAAAAGTTATAAAACTGGGGAAATGGTTGTGTTTCTTTACTTCAAGTACAAAAAAAGGAAGAAAAATAAATGTCTTTGGCTTGCAGTGATGACCCTGAACAGGCCCCAAAAAAGATTTGCCACATCCTCAACTTCCCCAAAAATCTTAATCATAAATCCCTGGTCTTGAAGGTTTTCTGAAAATCTAGCAGGCCTGAAATAATGCAACTAAACAGGAATACATGAATGTCTGTGTGTTTAACGGGAGCTGCAATTCAACATTTATCTTGCATCAGGATTCACATTAAAAATCCCTAAAAAAAAATAAGATACTATTTTCTCTGTGATTCCTTTTTAACTTCCATCATTCGGTGATGCAGATCCTCATTCAAAATAACTGATAATTAACGAAAAATAACATCCTGCCATTCGCACACGCATTTCACGTGACTTTTAAATGTGTGTTACAAATCTACATCTTCATCTTCACCATTCGGCTCTGATTAACACACACCAGCTGCACACATGATCAAACACAGGTTGATTTTCTCACCAGCTTTGGTGCGGGAGACTCATCATCATCATTGGAATTTCGCGGCAGGAAGAGGGGACGGGAACTCACGTGGGGTTTTAACTGGTTCTTCTTTTTCTGTGGTTTTATTGCCGGACTACAAACTAACATTAAAAGTGCATGACGCCACCTACAGTGTAATATTATGACTTTATAACATTTTATTCTGTTTATCATGGTTTATAAAGTTAAGATGAGTTATGTATATTATAATCTTAATCTACTATATTGTATAAACCTCCATTACTTCTTTTATTTTAAAAAAAACCCGAGAGATTGTAACTTCGGACGTGCACACAGGTATCCCCCGCGGAGCCAATCAGGCAGCACGCTCTCGGTTCCGTGTTTTGCAGTGAAGCACACCCACAACTGTCAGCGCTGCACTTTAGTATGAAACACTGCGACCAGGAAGTCCTAAAATAACGCTGTACTGGCTCATCATGTTATATCTGCAGGCTGCCCACAATCGCACCATGGTAGGTTCTTAACAAGCTTGTCTTATTTGTTTGTGATCCAAAAGAAGCTAAATGTTCCCTGAAGTTTGGGGTGTTTTAAATTCACCTGTTGCTGTGTGGTGTCTGTGCTTTGTTGTGTGGTCTGGTGTAAACGTCGTCACTGAGTCCAGTAGTTGAATGCTGCAGAGTGGTCGGAAAACACAGCAGCAGAGCGGACTTTGAATAGTAGAGATCTCATTACTAAGTAGTCAGGGCAAAATCATATCTATATCCATATACAAAAAATTTTGAAATATCTTTTTAAGGCTCTACACGTTTTATATTTGTAGTATGAATCAGTGTGAAAACATTTTAAAATATTAAACCTGGAATAAATGTTTAATTGTGGAGCTGTGTGACAGAACATCTGCTGCAGTGGGGTCTGCTGGTTTCAACCTGTTGCTTCCTGGCTTAAAGACAAAGGGCTCACATCTCTTTTTCTGTCACATGCTCACTCTTTGAAACCAGTTTTTGTAATTGCATTGTTCATAAGCTACTTAGTATGATCAGATATTACCCTGCAGCTGGTCTGATGTCACATTTTACACCTCTAGAAATAAGTTTCAAAACATTACTCAGTTTCATAAAAGAGGAACTTGAATGACTGTTTTGGAGCATGGAGTGGTGGACAAGATTCATGGCTGATGAGAAGTGAGATTGTGGCTATTTGAAGTCTGCATTGTCTGATGTCCATCGCCAGACATGAAATCCTCAGTTCATGTTGTCAATTTCCACAGTTTCCACAAAACATGAGACGTCACACACTAAAACCCTGTGGTAGAGGAAGTATGCAGATGATTTACTTATGTAAAAGCAGCAATATCACAGTGTAGAAGTACCCTAAAAGTCGTGCATTCAGTCTTACTTAAAGGTTCTGTATATGACATTCAGAATCTTAATACAGCAGCAAACAATAATGTAAAGATAAAGTGGAGTAATGTCCTGAGTAAAGAAATAAGTCACGCTCCCTCTGTGTGTGTTGTAATCTGAGCATCTCTGTTTTTTGTTGTAGTCGACAATCCAGCTGCAAGTGCATGTTATGCCCCATTTCCACTGAGCAGTTCAGTTCAGTTCAGTTCAGTTCAGTATGCTTTTTTCCGTTCTCACTGTGAAAAGTTGTGGATGGTACCAATGGTTCCGTCCCCATGTTTGGTCCCCCCTCTGTTGGGGTACCTAGCACACAGATCTGGTACTAAAAGGTGGAGCTGTGAACACTGCAGTCTGATTGGTCAGTAGAGGACGGTCACTCTGCTCAGGGCTGAGTTGTGTCTGGTTTTGAGGCTCATGTAACCACTGTTCATACTGTGGAGAGTTTTATTATCAACAGTAACTATAAAATGAAAGGATGTTTTGCTGCCTCTCACAGCAGCCGGAGTCTGAGAAATAATAACTTAATTCACTGGGCCGACTGCCGGCAACTTTTAAGGTGGAATGTTTACTTGTAATGTTACTCAGTGCAGGAGCTGACGATAGGGCTGCCACGGTTAGTCGACTAATCGATGACTAATCGACTATCAAAATAATCGGTGACTATTTTAGTAGTCGACTAATCGGTTTGAGTCATACTTTTCTTTTCATAGAAAAGTACTATAAAAGTACCCAAAATACTCCTATTGCAGCTTCTTATGCACAAATATTGGCAGCTTCACACACTCTCCCATGATGGTGAACTAAAAATCTTTGGCGAGAGTACGAAACAAGACATTAGATGACATAATTTTGGGGTTTGGGAGAGACAGACCGACATTTTTCAACATTTTAACACATTTTTTGATAAAATGATTAGTTGACTAATCGAAGAAATAATCAACAGGTTAGTCGACAATGAAAATAATCATTAGCTGCAGCCCTAGTTGACGACGTGAATCCATCAGCACACCTTAAATTTCACTGGGACAACTTTAACCATTATTTTACTTTTTATATGACATACACTTTTAGTAATGAACAGATCTTCAAGCATTTATATGTATTAATTTCAGCCATATTATGTGAACTGCATCCTTCGTCGTTCCTGTGGGTTACAGCAACACTAAACCCCTGAGCTTGCCTGAGAAGGATTAAATGCACAAACCTGCTATTTTTAAATATCCCATGGAGAGAGACTCTCACTGCAGCCTGTTCTATTTTGTTCTGAAAATGTCAGCGTGCAGCCTCGTTCTGTGGACAATAAACCGGGTGCAGACTGATAAAGGAGGAAATACAGTGAGTGCTGGACGGAGCAGTGAGTGACAACAACCCCGCCCACATTTAAGAGGACTGTTTGCAGTGGAAACGCTAGGGTCTAGGTACCATGTCTGAAGGGTTACTGTTGGTTCCAAAAGTACCATACTGAAAGTGTTTGGTGGGCTTTAGTCCCGGTGAGTGCCTGTGTGTGTATTCCATTGGCTAGCTAAATGCTGCTGGTCTATGCTGGGCTCAAATGGCGGTTACCACTGACAACAGTGACGGCATGTTCGCAAAAGTGTTTCTCAAATGTCATGTAAAGTTACTGAGTGTTTGCACTGTTAGCAGCTAGCCCCCAGCTAAGCCACCTCCATACTGAGAGCCAAGTGCAGACAATCCTGGCTCAGGCTCTGAATGTTGTATACAGCTCCTTTTAAGTAAATGTAAAAGTGTATTCACATCAAAGTATACTTTAAGTACCAAAAATAAAAGTACTACAGTCTGTAGACATGGTTAATTTTGCTGTAAAGTTTTAACACAGGGGATTAACACAAAGTTTCTTCTGGAGCCAGCCTCAGAGAACTGCAGTTTTTGGCACCTCTGTGTTGGCTTCATTTTTCAGCCCTGGTGGTTGATGCTTGACACATACAATTAACAGAATTTAATGTCTCAGCCCTTCGTCTGGCAGGACCTGCAAGTGTGTAAAGTATGATTTAAAAGAAGGTTGATATTTGTGATGTTCCAACTAAGAAAACAAATTGGCGTCCCTGAACCAAAGGTGCTGGGATTCAAATTAGTTTATTAGTTTTACGATATTAATCTGATTCTGTACTGTAACTATAGCTGTCAAACAAATGTAGTGCAGTGTAAGCACAATAGTTCCCTTTAAAATATAGTGGAGTATAAGGTAGTATAAAATGGAAATACTCAGTTTTCACCACTGCTTACAAGACCACACAACTCAATTATAGGGGGAAGCAATCTGTGATCAATTCCAGCTCTACAAACTGAACAATAAACTGTAAAAATGTACATATTATTAAACCTGGCTTTAAACTGATAATGTGGTCTAAAGAGTCTGAGTCTGTCTCATAGTAAAGAAATAGTATCTAATGTGTCTTCCTGTTAACTCTATTTTCAGTGACTTGTTTCACAATGAGTAAGAGGAAAGGCAAAGCGATCAGTGATGCGACAGCTGTGAAGAGCCGCAGAGTGACAGCTGCAGGTACTGAAGATGCTCCAGATGATACGAACCACCAGAGACCGTCCTCCAGCGGTTGCACGCCGTCCACCACAGTGAGTGATTTACCCCCATGAAGCGCTTTATCTCTCCTTATCACCAGGTCATTAATGGTTGAGGTTTGTTTTCTGTGTGTATTTGCAGGGAGATATCGGCCTCATTGAGAGCATCACTCTGAAGAACTTCATGTGTCACCATTTGCTCGGTCCGTTCCAGTTTGGGCCCAATGTGAATTTCATCGTTGGCAACAATGGAAGTAAGAGCTGGATTTCTAAATGTTGTGTGATCGGCTGGTTTCTTTGGTTTGTGTGTTTAACACGACAGCCCAGCCAGAGCTACAGATCCACAGTATGTACTCCTTTTAAACCAGAGCAACTTGATAATAAAGCATAGGACAGGATCATTATTAATTAAGCTACCGATTATCGAGTCAATTAATTGTTTGGTCAGTAAATTGTCATAAAAACAAGGAAAATGCGAATTGCAATTTCCTTTGTTTCCTGTCATCTCTCCATTAAAATGATCTAATAAAGGCACAAGAATGCCCCCCAAAAATAGCAATAAGACAAAAGCTGGGTTATGTTTTGGGTTTTGCTTTAAAAATTACGATCATTAGCCAATTTATTAAAATAGTTGCAGACCAGAATATACTGTAACTACATCATTTGCTTGTCACTTCATTAAACAATTAGTTGACAATTAATTTCAGCTCATATGCCACCAAATTAGGGTCGTCTTCTTATAGTGGAATATTAGAATTATTATGGGGCACGGAGTAATTCATATGATAGAACAGGCTCCCCACGTACAAACGCTGCGTCCTTGCTGCAGTGGATGTTGGTTCGATTCTGACCTACAGCCCTTTCTTGCATGTCATCCCCACTCTCTCCCCATTTCATACTACCACCCTCCTGTCAAATAATGTCCAAAAAGCCCAAAACATAATCTTAAGAAAGAATAATCAGTGTCTGAATAAGACTTTTTTAGTCAGTTTGTTGTTTTTTCATAGAATTTTTATTTTTATGGAGAAGTAGTTACCTTAAAAAGAACTATCTTTTTCATCATAATATCCACAGATATGCTTAAGTTTTTAATAGACATTAGATAATTAAAGATGCTTATGC